ATTTTATATATTTCTGTGAACTTTTAAAACAAAGGAAAAGTTATCAAATATACATAAAACGTTATAAACAAAGATTTTATTTAAACAAATCTACATATAATAAATTTTTAAATAAAACACACACACACAGAGTCATTTATATCGTTTAATCAATTTTGTCAAGAAATTTACTTTATTTATAGATATATAAATATTATAATATAATATATATATATATAATTTATAGATATATAAAAAGTTTGCGAAATTGATTCTTGGAAAAGACGATACATCATTTTTCATGAAATTATATTTTATGGAATTCAATATGGGAATGATCGTAGCTATTATTATACAAACACTCCTTAGCAACTGCTTGCACCATGACAACGTAAGGGTTTGTTCGAATTTTCACAGTTCGGCTGCATCTGCATGTTAGACATGCTTCTCCGAGTTGTCCGAGTTTGTCAGCTTTAATATTGCAATATTCTAACTCAGTATAAAATTTTTATACTTATGAAATACATACTTTTTATAGTTATGAAATACATACATGAAATACAATATGCATATTTATAATGTAAATTAATTTTGTAAACTAATTTTGATACAAATTAATTTACAAATTATTTTAATCAATAGCAATGCAATATATAGAGTTACATAGATCATTATTTCTTTACAATACATTTCTTTGAAAAGCTATAACGTGTAAATTTTATTGTTGTTGAAGATTTGAAGATTTATTTATAATTCTTTACGCAATTATAATTTCATATCTGAAATGTATTGAATTGTTGACGAGATAATAGGTAAACGTTATATAATAGCGACGATTTTTTTCACTATTTTTTCTCATCTCAATAATACATCTATCATTGCCGACTGCCTACTTTTCATAAAACGGCTGCGACGACCGAAGCTATTCATCAAGGTGCGAAAAGATACTCGTCGGCCACTTGCTGTGGTCGTAACTACTTCATAGTCTCGGCCATTTCGCGGTCTACTCACCCCGTCTCGCTTTTCTTCCCTCGTTCGTCTTAACACGTTGTTTTGCACCTGGCCAGGTTGTACGAATACTAATCGGGGGTGCGGAAGCGTCACGGTGAGGGCGTCGCGGCGCCACTTACCAATAATAATTTTAACATGCTTGTACGAAACTATGATGTAAATAAATTTTTTAACGCTCTTTTTTTCTCTTCTGATACATATGAATTTTATTCTTTTTTTTTAAAATAAAACTATTTTACTGTTACTAACTTAACTATTTATTACTATTACTATTATTTACTATTATTTTACAAAAATGATATTATTCTGAAAACAACAAGAAAATTATTTTTTCCAAATACGATAACATTTATTTTGTTTTCAATAAAATAATTCCCTCTATTCCAATATTTTTTAAATATATATATTTTTTCTTTTAGAATATTTCATTATATAGTCATATAATTATGAAGATATAAACGCACGCGCGATTCTTGCCATACTTCACTTTACCGAACTTCTCCCCACGATAAGAAGCTTCCCTCGTCGAAAGATACAAAGAGGGTCCCTTAGAATATACCAAATCTCATCCGTCAGATTCGGCAGCGCCTAATTAAAAAGCGTAATAATAGATTCGCAGATTTCTGCGTGACATTTTATGCGAGCCGTATATATACGTCATAAAGTTTTACGTTTCCACTCATGCATAATTCATATTCAGCGCGAAGAATATAGCTGCTCTTCGAGAAAGAGTGAGAAACGAAGAGAAATCGAGAGGAAAGGAAAAAAAAAGAGAAAAAGAAGAAAGATTTTTTCATGCGG